GGTATGGCTGACACAAAGAGCACTTTCCATAATGCTGCACAGTTACTAATAACTAATATTGCTATTAATATTTAACATATGCCTTTTATTGAGTCCCTATTAAGTGCCAGACACTTGATAGATGTTTCCTTTAATGCTTTCAGCCACTCTAAAAGCGGCAGGGTCAATAATAGCCCTCTCACCAAGGTGTAATAGCTGCTGCAGGTCATAACTGCTAACCTAGGTCTGCTTAGCTCCAAAACTCATTCCTCCATTTTGCCGTATTTCCTGCTAATCTAGTGGCATACAGTCTTAACCTTGAGACATTATTTGCCCTGAGGTCTTTGCTCATCTACATGTCTTCACATCTCCATCTTGTAGCTCTCTGGGTTTGACTGTAGTGCTTAAATATAGATTGTGCATTTGACCATAATGAAAATGTTTACTTTTACCATGTAGTTTTAAACAAGAATGTTGTGAAGTATTAGTTTTTCTGCTAACTTTATCACCCAGCTGAATCCTTCAGGGTCCCCCCTGGCAGAATAAAACCAAGGCACACAGGCTTCTTCAGTCTGGTTCTCATCTGCCTGGCCAGGAGGTTCCCAGAGTGTCCCTGGCTCCCTCCATTCATGCTCCTGACCACGCCCCTCCTGGGTTTTTCAGTTTAGTAATCCCAGCATCCAGCACTATGTCTGGCCCAAAGTGGCCTTCAATAAATACAAGCTGAAGGGAGGAAAGAAGAAAGCTCTACACCTTAAGACACACAGACTTGAACCAGGCAATGTAAAGGGGCTTTGGAGGCTGAGTGAAATTTAATTGAGCAGAAATAAAGTAAGGCTTAAATGAAGGCAATATGCTCTCAGTCAGTCACCTAGAGACGTACCTCTATGCTGTGCTGTCCAGCTTTACAAAGTGCTTTCACATAATAATCATAACTGTTACCAATTATGGCATGCTCACTGCATGACAGGCACCAGATGCTTTATATATTTTTTCTTTCTGTATTTTTTTATTTATGATCTTTATGATTACTATTTACTTTGTCTCTCAACACCAGCTCCACACAAGTTCTAGGAGAGCAAGTCTTTTCTCTCCCATTATGTTCAAAATAGTGCCTGGCAAATAGGTGCTCAGTAGGTCACTGAATCTTCCAGAGCCCCATGAAGTAAGGGCCTTAACCCCCACTTTACAGATAAGCAACTTGAGGCTTAGTGGGAACAAGTGATTTTTGCAAAGATACAGATCCAACAAGAGGACAACATTAAAAAAAAGATCTATGGTCCCTCCCTTTCCATTACCCCTGCAACCACCTGGATTCAAAAATGTAAAAAAAATAAATAAAAAATTTATAAAAAATAAATAAATAAATAAATATTTTTAGAAAATGTCCATTCCTGGCCTTGAAGTTGGGAGTCACTACCTGCCTGTAGGATTCCTTAATTGACTAATAATGGTAACAGCACTGCAACAATGACCATTCATGGAGCACTTGCCACATACCAGGCACTGCTCCACACCTCTGGACTCGCAGCATCTGAGGAAGTATTTCCTACAGTTACTTTTTTACCATTGAGGATTCTGAGGCCCCAGAGTGGTTAAGGAACTTGTCATCATCACAAAACTAGTAAATGATTTCAGAATTCACACCCCAGCAGTTTAGGTCCAGCGCCCATGCTCTTCACCACAACTCACACTGCCTCAGCAAGATGGCAAACTGAGTCAGAGCAATGGGAAAGGGCTGACATTCCCAGAGCACTTACTAAGGCCAAGGCCAGTCTGCTTGTCCCACTAGGCACATTCTCATGTTTTCATGTTCTCTTTTTAAATCTCACAATCACCCTGTGAAGTTACAGATGAAGAAACTGGGATTCCAAGGCTCTAAAAGAGCCAGCTGTAGACAGAAGAAACAAAGTAGATGAGTGGTTGCCTAGGGCTGTGCAGTTGGGAGGAACTTGGGAGTGGCTGCTAATGAGCATTTTGGGGGTGATATAATGTTATACAATTGATGGTGGTGGCCCAGCTGGGTGGCTCAGTTGGTTGGAGCATCATCTTGTACACCAAAAGATTGTGGGTTTCCAGTCAGGGTGCATATGGGAGGCAACCAGTCAATGTTTCTCTCTCACATCATTTCTTCCTCTTCCTCCGTCCCTCTCTCTCCCTTCCACTCTCTCTAAAATCAGTGAAAACATATCCTCGGGTGAGGATTAAAAATAAATAAAATAAAAAATAAAATCGATGGTGGTGATGGCCATACTAAAAACCAATGAAGTATTATACTTTATTTTGTTGTTGTTGTTTTTTGTTTTTGCACGTGCCCCTAGCGGGGACCGAACCCGGGACTCTCTGGTCCGCAGTCCAACGCTCCAACCGCTGAGCCAAACCGGCCAGGGCGAAGTATTATACTTTAAGTTATTTTATTTTATTTTTATTTTTTTGGTACGTGCCCCTAGCAGGAACTGAACCCGGGACTCTCTGGTCCACAAGCTGACGCTTTAACCGCTGAGCCAAACCGACCTTCTCTCGAAGTATTATACTTTAAATGGGTGAACTACATGGTGGGTGAATTGCATGGTAGGTGAATTATGTCTTAATAAAGACTTTTATTTTATTTATTTTATTTTTTCCTCATCTGAGGACATTTTTCCATTTTTTGTTCAGATAGAGTGAGAGGAAGAGAGAGAGAGAGAAACATCGACGTGAAAGGGACACATCGAGTGGTTGCCACCCACACAACCCAACCAAGGCTGGGGACAAACTGCAACCCAGGCTCGTGCCCTTAGCAGGAACCGAACCCGGGTCTCTCTGGACCGCAGGCCAACGCTCCAACCTCTGAACCAAACTGGCCAGGGCAAGACTTTTATTTTAAAAGGGGAGGGTAGCCCTGGCTGGTATGGCTCAACTGGTTGAGCACTGTCCCATGGGCCAAGAGGTTGCTGGTTCTATTCCCAGTCATGCGGGTTATGGCTTGATCCTCAATGGGTGGCATGCAGGCGGCATGCCAATCAATGTTTCTCTCTTTCCCTTTCCATTCCTCTCTCTAAAAAGTCAATAAAACATATTTTTAAATAATAATAATAGATAAAAGAAACCAGATCATGAAACACCAACAAAAAAGGAGGGGCGGATACATAGAAGGAAGTGGCAGAGGTGAAATTTCTATAAGCCTCAGATCAAAAACCTTGGGGTCATTGTTGTCTCTTCTTTTTCTCTAACTCACACTCAGCAATAAACATATCCTAAGGCATGTTACCACTTCTCTCCACTCCTACTGCTTGGTCCAAGCCACCACTTCGGGCCCAAACTGCCACACTCCTTCTAAGCGGTCTCCGTGCCTTCTCCATATGTACTATTCTCCATAAAGCAGCTAGCGGGATCCTTTTAAAACATTCCTGTCAGATTTCCCTTTTGCTTAAAATCCTCCAACAATCTAAAAGTAAAACTCACTTACAATTCAGAGTTGGCCCCCTCCCAACCTCACTGCCCACTGGCCACACTTGCCTCTTTGCTACCCTCAACACACTTCTCCCACCTCCACACGACTGCACTATGGTTCCTTTCTCCTGGAATACTCTTCCTCCAACTCCCAGATACCTACATGCTTGCTCCCTAATATCACTCAGGGATCTGCTCAAAGGTAACGTCACTGTTGCAGAGAAGCAACAATCCAACCCTAACCATCACTTCCCCCAGCTCGTCACTCTAACCCAGCAGTTCTCAACCCGTGGGTTGCGACCCCTTTCGGGCTCAAACAACCCTTTCACAGGGGTTGCCTAAGACCATCGGAAACACCTATTTCCGATAGTCTTAGGAACCGAGACACTGCTTCCCCAGGCGGGTCTGCCCACATACAGATACGCCCACATACAACATGAGGAACCGTATTAAAGGGTCGCAGCATCGGGAAGGTTGAGAACCACTGCTCTAACCCCTGACCTACCTTGTTGCCCTTCAGATACAGCACATCCTTCTTTGTTAACCATCTATCTCTACCACTAGAGTGTGACATCCCTGGGGACAGAGGCTTAATCTGGCTCTCTGGGACTAGAACAATGGCCAGAACATTGTAGATACTCAAAAAAAATGAATAAATGAATCTGATGCCAAGCTGTGGCTCCTCTTGCTGCTCCTGGGGTAATCTAGCAAAGAGACTGATCACTGCATTTAACATGCTCCTTACTGAAATCTGCAACCCTCTCTGCACCCAGTCAGTGCCATATCTATGCTGATCACCTGGATTTGTACTTATTTGTGAATGAAGGTAATTCCCTACCAGACTGGGAGCTCTGGAAGGGCAAGGTTCTGAGCTGTAGCCCTTGACACCTAGCAGAGTCTTGAACAACATATGTAAGTCTTTTGTTGACTGGAAAAGGAAGATAAATTTCAAAACCAATGGCAGAAGTTTAATTTCTCTATTCCCAAACACACCAAAGGGACAACCTTCCAGACCACTACCCTGAAAAATCCCTCAGCCCCACTGTTAGGGAACTAGGATCTTGAAGTCAAGTTCAAGTGTTCTTTGGAATTCCTTGGGTAGTGAGTTGTGCCAGGGAAAGCTCCTTGCAGAATAGAATTTGCCAACTGAGCCCAGAAAAACCTGTGTGAATAGCAGGCAAACTTAAAGCTGCACTTAGTGAAATTGCTTTCTGCTATCTCAAAGAGAAATAATAGCATGTGAGGCTGGCTTAAGGAGAAAATGATAAATAGAGGTGTGCTTCACTCCCACAAAGAAAAAAAAATGGTTTCAAGGGCTCTCCTATCTGCAGGATGTGCCATGGAGTCAAGACCCTTCCCAGCCCTGTTCTCCTTTCTCCATTCCCATTATCAGCAAATCCCCATGTGCTCATTCATGTTGTTCCCTTTGTCTGGCACACTCTTCCCTCCTTCCCAGGTTGGTGAATCCCTACCCATTCTTACAGAGCACAACTCAAATGCTTTACAAACCTTTCTCCGCCTCTTCTTCCCCATCATTCCTTCCTCTGTCAGAAAATGCTCTGTGCTGAGCTGTAGGTGTCAGCACCTAGCCAACCATCCAATTATTGTGTCATACTTGGAGAGGACAATAGGACAGGCCCTCAGGGAACTTACAGTCTGCTGGGGGAGACCAAAGCAAAGAAATACAAAATTGCAAGCTGGGTAAAGGGATAAGAAGGAAACCAGGTAAGGTAGACTTCATACATCCAGGTGAAGACAGGGCCGGGGGGGGGGGGGGGGGGGGGGACACGGACCAGAATGGATAGTTGGGGAAGGCTTTTTGGAAGAGATGACTTTAACTGGTACCCAATGGATGAGTAGAAGTTAGCCAAGAAAAGAGTGGGAAGAAGCCTCCAAAAAGAGGACATAACACACATGAATTTGCAAGGCATGGAAGATGTTGGCATAACTCAAAGGAGGCCTGTGTGGCTCCAGCCTCGGAGGGCTGAGGGAGGGGTGTGAGGAGAGGAGGCAGGCCTTTTGGCAGGACCTAATCACTCTGAATTACCATCACTGGGTGTTTACATCGCCTCTGTCCTCAGAAAGGCTGGAGTATATTTAACTCCTCTCCATCCCCAGTGCAAAGCAAGACACCTGGTGCACAACAGGCATTCAACAAGTTCCTGTGGGCTACACTGTCCCCAGAGCTGCAGGTGATCTCTCGATCTGCCCATTTCTCCCACCCCAAAAGCAAGTCCCCAGTTGGCTCGCCTAACTGAAGCACCCAGGGATGGTTAACCACAAGACTGGTGATAGAAACAGAGGATGAAACAGGAGCAGCTGTGAGAGCTACAGTTACATCCTTGACAAATGTCACTAGCAGATGTGACCACAGCATGGTCCTTGGAGACCATTCTGGGGGTAAACTTCAACCAGATAGCAACTCTATTATAAGAGGGCCTTCCAAAATCACATGCCCCAAAACTAAACCATCAATGTGGAGTTCAAAATAGTCCCTAAGGTCAACTGTTTTTATTCACAACATTTCTGACAACCAAATGTATGGGTTTTCCTCTCCATTCAACAACCAATTCTCTGATTCTCCAGACACCAACTGCACATCTCACAATTCTGACATTGTCCGGAGTTAGAACAGACCCCCAGGTTAAAGGCTGTCTCACAAGACTGCCCCCACTTCAGATGCCAGTCGAAAGTCCCAGATTGCCACTTTTACTTCTGATCAACTATAAATTGGTTTGATAAGTTAATATCAAACCTCTCCTCTGGTTAGATAATTGTTTGAATGGTTCACAGAACTCAAGAAAGGGCTTTAGTTACTATTACTGATTTATTATTAAGGATGCAACTCCCAGGAACAGCCAAATGGAAGAAATGCATAGTAGAAGGTGGGGTTGGGGGGACAGGGAAGGGAAAAGCAGAAAGCCTCCACACCCTCTTTGGGTGTACCATCCTCCCAGTACCTCAAGGTATTAACTAACCCGGGAGTTCTCCAAACCCCCATTGTTTGGGGCTTTTATGAAGGTTCCATTGCATAGTCATGTTTAAGTCATTGGCTATTGGTGATTGACTCAATCTCCAGTTCCTTTCCCCTCCCTGGAGGTCAGGGGGTGGGGTTGACCCCTCCAAACCTCTAATCACATGATCAGTTCCTCTGGCAACCAGCCCCCATCCTGAAGCTATCTAAGGGCCCACCTAGAGTCACTTTATTAGCATAAATTCAGATATGGTTCAAAGAAGCTTGTCAGGAATACCAGAAGATACTCCTATCACTCAGGAAATTTCAAGGGTTGTAGAAGCTCTTCAGGGGCAAAGACCAAATATATTTCTTAAAGAATCATACAAGGTTTGAATAGTTTCTTGATTTTTTTTTTTTTTTAAACAATCTAGAAGATGAGAAGACAACTTGGTGAGAGGCAGGAATTTCCAAGTTGCTTAGCTTCCCTTGCCCAACCCAGAATTCTGTCACTTTCAAGAACACACTCATAATTCTTCAAATCACACTTAGAACTCTTGCTTTCTGGTTAATGGATCTTGAACACTTCTAAACTAATAATTATTTAGGCTAAGCCAAGCTATGGTATTTTTGTTTCTTGGATTTTTCTTTATTGACTTTAGAGAGAGAGGAAGGGAGAGGGAGAGAGAGATAGAAACATAGATGAGAGCCCTGGCCGGTTTGGCTCAGCAGTTAGAGCATCGGCCTGCAGATCAGAGTCCCAGGTTCGGTTCCCGCTAAGGGCATGTACCTTGGTTGCAGTTTGTCCCCGGCCCCGGATGGGGTTCTGTGGGTGGCATCCACTCAATCTCTCTCTCACGTCGATGTTTCTCTCTCTCTTCCTCCCTCTCCCTCCCACTCTATCTGAAGATAAATGCAAAAATGTCCTCACCCAATGAGGATAAAAAAAAAGAAAGAAAGAAACATAGATGAGAGAGAACATCAGTTGGTAGCTTCCTGTATGATCCCCACTGGAAATCTGGCCCACAGCCTGGGCATGTGCCCTGACTGGGAATCGAACCAGTGACCTCTTGGTGCATAGGTCAGTGCTCAACCACTGAGCCACACCAGCCAGGCCAAGCTATGGTTTTTAACTCTTTTTAGAAAAGGGGGTATTGGGACATTACACATAGTTTGAGAATATCTTATGAAGAAACACAATTAAGAATCATTTGCCTGAATCACACAGGCCACTGTCTTCTCTGTGCTCTTTACATACGTTGGTATTTTTAAAGTCCTATACTGTAATCTTTGCTACAATAGTCCTCCATGCTTCCCTCTAGTGAGGGCAAAAAAGGACTGCAGATACCTTCTTATGAAATTCTACTTCCTTTCCCTGCTCTCTTGTCCAGCTGACTCCTTGTTCTTTAGGCCCCACTGTAAATGCCATTTCTCCAGAAAGCCCTTCCCTTATTTACCCACCCAATCCAAATTAGGCTCCTATTAAATCCTATAATATCACTTCATGGCATTTGTCATAATTGGTAATTATATATTGGTTTGTGTTTGGTTAACACCCAGCCTACTTCCCCATTAAAGTATAAGCTCTGTGCAGTCAGTAACCATGTCAGTGTTGCTCACATCTATAAATCCAGTGCCCAGACAGAATGGTTCGTAGTAGGTATTAAATATATATTTGTTAAATACTTAGCAGCTTGCCCTGGATGGTTAGCTCAGCTGGTTAAAGCATCATCCCGATAACCCAGTGTTATGGATTCAATCCCTGGTCAGGGCACATACAAACAACCAGTGAATGCATAAATAAGTGGAACAACAGATTGATGTTTCTCTCTCTGTAAAAAAAATAAATAATAATAATAATTAGAAGCTTTTCTATAGAGGCCTAGGATTTTCTAAACATGATTTGCCCAGTACTAGCTTCTAGTGTCTTGGGATACATATTGTTCATGGTGCCCTGGCCAATTTGGCTCAGCAGTAGAGCATCAGCCCGCGGACCAGAGTCACAGGTTCAATTCCGGTCAAGGGCATGTACCTCGATTGCAGTTTGGTCCCCGGCCCTGGTCGGGGTTGTGCAGGGGGCAGCCAATCAACGTGTCTCTCTCAGATCAATGTTTCTCTCTCTCTCTCTCCCCCGCCCCTCTCTCCCCCTACTCTACCTGAAGATAAAAATGGAAAAAGGTATCCTCGGATGAGGATTTAGAAAAAAAAATTGTTCATGGTATCTTCTGAACACAGGGCCCTGTCACAGCAATAAGCACATTTTTAAAAAATAAATTTTAAAAAAAGTTTTTCTTTATTGATTGTAGAGAGAAAGGAAGGGAGAGGGAGAGAGAGAGAGAAACATTGATGAGAGAGAACATCAACTGGCTGCCTCCTGCATGTCCCCCATTGGGGATTTGGCCCACAACCTAGGCATGTGCCCTGACCAGGAATTGAACTGGCAACGTCTTAGTGCATGGGACGACGCTCAATCACTTAGGCCACACCAGCTGGGCAATAAGCACATTTTTAAATGCCTGCTCTAGTCCACATACTATGTGCTTTATTTTTTATTATTTTTTTTATCCTCACCCGAGGACACTTTTCGATATTTTGTTCGGATAGAGTGGGAGGGGGAGAGAGAGAGAGAAAGAAACATCGATGTGAAAGGGACACGTCGAGTGGTTGCCACCCACACGACCCAACCAGGGCTGGGGACAAACTGCAACCGAGATACGTGCCCTTAGCGGGAACTGAACCTGGGTCTCTCCGGACCGCAGGCTGACACTCTTACCGCTGAGCCAAACCGGCCAGGGCGTGCTTGTTGCTTTAAATCATTACTAATCCTCACAGTGGTCATGCAAGATAGGGACTATTACCCCATTTTAAAGACAAGGACCCCAAGATTCAGAGAGGTAAATTAAATTCCTTATGGTCACATGGTTAGTAAGCAGACACAATCAGAATTCAGACTCAGCTCAGCGACCAGGGTCTGTGTTCTTTCCACTCAGTCCCTACTTCTCAACCAGGAAGCACAAACTCCCAGGGGCATACTTCGGCAGGACTGAAAATATGAGAAACCATAAGATGAACATATGGCCCATTTCTGGTATTTCTTTTTTTCCCCCTGATGATAAATAACATAAAATATTTTTTGGGTTAAAAAAGACATATTTTAGCCCTGGCCAGTTTGGCTCAGCGGTTAGAGCGTCAGCCTGTGGACCAGAGAGGCCCAGGTTCGGTTCCCGCTAAGGGCACGTACCTCAGTTGCAGTTTGTCCCTGGCCCCGGGTGGGGTCCAGTGGGTGGCAACCACTTGATGTGTCTCTCTCACATCAGTGTTTCTCTCTCTTCCTCCCTCCCACTTTATCTGAAGAGGGGGGAAAAAAAGGCATATTTTAAAGTATAATATGTAATAAATGTTTTAAAATTAAGAAAAATCCACTATAGTTAAAAGACATTTCATGCCTGTTGCCCAGGTTGGTCTCAAGAACCTCCATGGAAAAACATGAGAAGCACTTATTTCTCACTCTGTCTTGCTTCATTTTATGTCCCTTTACCTTGCTGCTATATTTTTTAAATACCAGTATTCCAATTTCTTGAGCCCTGGCCTCACCCCAGCACATCCCCACAGACGGCAGGCCCAGCTGGCGAGAGAGTGCTGGCTTGCAGCCCTGGTCAAGGATACTGGCTTAACGTGGAGGCTCATGGCCATTTCCACTCCCGCCCTCCTTTTCTCTAGAAAAATTAAAATGTTTAAAGAAAGCAGCAGTGTAATAGTCACCGGCATATCATTTTCAAAAGAGTTAGTCATTTATGAGGACACCTTTTTGTAGGTACAATAAATCTGATTGATTTTTATTACACATCTTAGTTTAGAATCACTTTTACATTCCTAGACAAAGAGATGATACAAATAAATATCATAAAACTTAGAGCCCCAAGTATTGGCATATTCTTTGTCTAAAGGTAGCCAAAGAGAAGGTCAAGATCAATAGTAACTCTAAGGAGCCATAAAGCCCATTGCCTCCTTCCTGCACTAGGATTACTCATTTCATAAATAACCTCAAAAGCATTTCATTCAAGAAACAAAGGCAGGGAGAAAGGTGGCAGATTTCTGAACAGTACAAGACAAAACCTTGTGAGATAGACAATAGCCAGACCCACTATTCTTATCCAGTTCCCTCTGAGCATTTTGATTATGGCTTCTAGAGTATATTAATAGCCCCATTTTTGTCCACTGATGGTGTTCAGATGGCCCAAGGTGTTGCATACAGTGAGCCTTGACCTCAAGTGGGAAATGTGAGGCAGAACTGATAGCCCATGTTAACAACAGGGAATCGACACTTCTCAGCAACTTGGCAACAATTTTATATTCAGTTAGGGAGGACTTACAAGAGTCAGACAGGAAAAGCAGAAAGTAGCCCACGCCTGAGCTGCAGAACTCTCTGACGCCCCTGGTCATGGAGGTGTGGGTGGTGCAATTCAAGCAGCATGCAGGCAGGCATTCGACGGGGACAATCCAACGTTAGGTCAGAGTCTTAAAAAAGTGCTTCATGCCTAGATTTCTGGCCTTGGATTCTGGATCCAGGGGTCTGGGAGACATGTGACTTTAAAATATGAAGCCAGACACATTCCTACTGGTCAGAGCAAAAAGGCGCCTAATGAGGGTTGCACACACAGTCTCAAACTCCTTCTCTCAGATGATCTTAGCTGCCATTAGGCTGGCTTCCAGACTTCACTAACTGCTGCTGACACGAAGGCCCTCAGAGAGCTTGGAACATTCTAACATGACTACAGATAGGAAAACCTGGTCCCTCAGTGGGCTTGGGAGGTCCTCCACACATTTGGCTCAGTTCAGAGCCCAAAGCAGCAGCTTTCTGGTAGCAGGAAGATATTCTACTGTCTGCTCTATTCAGATATTTATCGGATCCACTTTGAGAGAAGAAAAGCACCGGAGACTGCTTGGGAAGGGATAGCTTCACCTCCACTCAGGTGTTCTTCCACTTTTTTCATAGACCACCAGATGAACACGGCTGAGTACAAGGCAAGCTTATTTTATTAACCCTGCTCGTCAACTTGCCTTTCTTCTTTTGCCTTCTTAGAAAAGTTCTATGGTCACGCAACCACGCTTGGTCAGAATAGCCACCTTGAGACATCGGTATTAAGGAATTCTGTTATCTGCAATGTTGTTTTCAGATTTACCAGATGAATATTTTCAACCTACAGTATTCATACTAACTTTGAAAAAATGTGGTGCAAGAGACAGGTGGAACTGGCAGATAACCATCTTATTCAAACAGGTAAAGTGGTAGTAAAGAGAAAAGCAGGGTTTGATCCCAAGGAAGATGAGGGAAGGCTCCATTATGCTCTGGGAATTACTGAAAAGGGCCCTGGGTTCAGAAAGAATGGTAACTAAAAAGGAGATAGGCTGCCGGAAGACAGATCTCCATTTGTAGAATGCTAAGACATTGCACTTGGTATCTCCTCTTTCCCACAGGTTCTGATCCAGAAATGTGCCATGGGAACTGAGCAGCGGAGTTAAAGTATAACTCAAGGCCCACTTGAGCTGCCACCTTCCTGAGGCACCATGCCAGCAAGGTACACCAGTGTGGCAGACCTGGGGACTCATACTATCCCCTCAGGCTTGGCTCGTGGACACCCACTTGGGAGCACTTCCAGCCTGGATTAGTCATTCAATGGGCCTTTAATACAGACAAAGGCAACAACTGTACATTAGTGTATTTCTAAAATTGGGCAAGTTCTGGGTCTCTCTCTCTCTCTTAGACACACATGGACACACTCAAAGAACATAGGCACTGCTGTGCTTGCACACCCACACACACTTATGAGCTTCTTGAGGGAGAAAGGAGTAACATTCACCTAATGACCAACATAAAATGAAGCTTTGAATTACAATAATACAAAGAACTAAAACTTATAAACCAAACTAGTATATGTAAATGGGGAATTTCTAACTCTCTCCTCTGAGCCTATTTAGTCACACAGCAACTCCTCCCCACCACTTTAGGGTCTGCCCGTGGAGGGGTGGGGAGGGGAGGGGGGCACCGTTCCAGGACTAGGTGAGTTTCAGCTGAAGGCAGGCAGAGTTCCCTTGCTTCCACCTGTTATGTCTTCCCTTCACACTGCCATGAGCCTCACGTCTCTGTCTCCACATCTGTCCAGTCACCCTATGCTCTCTATGCAAGTATGGAACAAAGTGGGGAATTCAAAAGTGCCACCATATATCTCATTCTCCTACTCTTGTCCCATCAGAGAAGGCAGAGCCAGCCTCCCTTCTCCCACAAAACAAGCCCACTGCAGAGCATGCTCTGGAGGAAGATGGGCCTAGGAAGGGGTGTTCAGAGTACACTTGGCTAAAGATGGTGACAAATGAAGAGGAAAATGACATGGTGTATGGACATGGCATCAGTTTACAGATTCACGTCTTTGACAGGATGGTCATGGTTTTGAGGTTTTAAATAAGTTGCTTCTCTAAATCCTTCGAGGAGGCAAAGGGGATGTGATTTCTATCGCTTCCAACATTAATCCCTCAGGAGCAGAAATTGGTAGTTTCCTTGGAAAACATTTCCTCATTCAGCAGATCCACTTTTCACTGAGGAACATGGATCATGCCCACTGGGGACTTGGATCCAAATGAGATATCTCATTTTAACCTACAAGAACAAGCACCTATTCAAGTTCCAGGGCTTTCATTTCTCAATCTCACTGTCATTTTCTCCTGAGGCTTCTAAGATTTGGTCCTGCTAAGGTAACTCTTGATTCTGCCCTTCGGTTCAACAAGTAGGGAGCCCAGTGTAAAGAACAGGCTAGAAAAGGAGAGGGGAGAGGAAGGGGAGGCAAGGGAAGGGAGAGGAGAAGGCAAGGGAGAAGGGAAGTAAGGTCACTGGTCATTCTCTTGCTTTCTACTTCAACTACCGCACTTTACCTTATCCATGCATTTCTGAGATGCTAATGAAAGGACGTTGCCCAGAGGAGCTGAGTGCCAGAGTAGGACCAGCACCTTTCAGCCAGATTAAGTTGGTTAATCTGCAAAGAGGCCATCACTTCTCCCCAGGGGAATGGTTCTGAGTTTGGGCTGGAGTCCTCTCTGCAGGTATCTGCTCATCTCTTCTCTCAGAAGGTAAATGCTGTTTATACCCCGGGAGAGCAGGAACTGGCTTTACTTTGGAACCAGCCCCCGAGACTGTGGATAAAGCTGAGATGCAGGGGTTCCTGAGGAAGAGGAGGAGGATCCCGACTTCCTTCCGCTTTTAGGCCTGCAAAAGTCAAGCACATGTTCACATTACACATCCCATTTCTGTCACCAACACAGATCACACTCCTTTCCCATCAAGTGCCACTAACATTTCGAGGTGGCCTTTCCTCAATGGCCTATAGACCAGTACACCTTCAGCTGTAAAACTACCAGTCTGGCAAAGCCTGACCCTACGCACATGGCCAACATGACCTGCTAACCAAGGTGTGAAACCTCAGGGAAGGGACTCTGACTCTCAGCAATTGATCTTCCATTTAAATAAAATCTTGACTGTCTTCTCCAAATTGGCAAAAAATACTAAGTTTCCAGGTACAATTTCTTCCATTTTTGGTTTTTCACCCAGTTGTTTTCTTTAAACTTCTAATTCAGAATTTAATATGATAGAATTTCTAATTTAGCACCAAATTAAGTCCCTGGTACCTCATGGGAACCAAAGAATTGTTCCCTGTTTCACTAGACACATGCTCTTTATAGTAGGAACCGGGCACGTTAGGCATTCTGGTATTCAGTCTACCTGGCATAATGCCTGAACCATAAATATCTGTGTAATAAATGAATAAACACAGGCGTAAAATGGCAATGTTTTTGGTGTACCCTGTAAAGCATTCTATGATAAACAAGCACTCTTGCCACCCTCTACCTACATGTGCTCTTGTTCAAACATGTTCTGTTCAAACACAAGTCATCAAGAGCCACTCACCTGGCCTTGGATTTCTTATTTGCAGTACTTTCAAAGGATGACGCATCCACCTGTATCTCATCTTCATCCTGTAGAGCCGCATCCAATGCAGCCTGGACTTTGGGGGCAATGGCGGGGCCCTCATAGTCTCTGGTGGTCCGGCTGGGCATGTCCAGCTCTAATAGCACGATGTTCTCTGCCTGCAGAAGCATAGCCAAAACCAGCTAGGTTGGTTTCCAATCAGACACAAAGTACAAGCAATGTAGACCCCTCCAAACACAGAACTGCAAATTGCTTGCTACTCAGAGCCTACCATGAACCTGCCTAGAAGTGATGTAGTTTTTATAATTCTTTTTCTTGGCAGGATTACAGATGATTTTTATTCTCTAGGCTTATCGCTATTTTCCTTAAAAATTTTTTTTCTGAACAATGAACATGTACTACCCCCTAAGTAAATAATAAATTAAGTAAAACCCATTTATTGACAACAATGTAATATCACAAAAGGTATAAGGAAGAAAACAGTAATAACCAATAATCTCACCACCTACAGCAGTTTTGACGAATGTTTAGGTTGCCAAGGGGAGAAGGCAGGTATGGTGTATGTGTATGGAGGGTGTGTGTGGCAGTGTATGTGCTTGTAACCACATTTTAAAAGTCAGTCTAGCCCTGGCCGGTTTGGCTCAGCGGTTAGAGCGTCGGCCTGCGGTCCTGAGAGACCCGGGTTCGGTTCCCGCTAAGGGCACGTACCTCAGTTGCAGTTTGTCCCCGGCCCTGGTCGGTTGTGCGGGTGGCAGCCACTAGATGTGTCCCTTTCACGTCGATGTTTCTCTCTCTCTCTCTGTTCCTATCTCTCCCTCCCACTCTACCTGAACAAAAAATGGAAAAATGTCCTCGGGTGAGGATAAAAAATAAAAAATAAAAAAATAAAAGTCAGTCTAGCCCTGCCCAGTTTGGCTCAGCAGTTGAGTGTTGGCCTGTGGACCAGAGAGTCCTGGGTTTGGTTCCTGCTAGGGGCATGTACCACACACACACAAAAAAAAGTCAGTCTGGCGCCCTGGATGGTTTGGCTCAGCAGTTAGAGTGCCGGCCTGAAGACCGAAGGATTGCAGGTTCAATTCCAGGTCACGGGCACATGTCTGGGTTGCAGGTTCCATCCCCAGTGACTGGGGTCCTACGGGAGGTAACCAATCGATGCATCTCTCTCACATCAATGTTTCTCTCTCTCTCCTTCCCTCCCTTCCACTCTATCTAAAAATCAATGGCAAAATATCCTCAGGTGAGGATTAACCAAAAAAAAAGTCAGTCTGAAAAAAACTTAAATAAATAATAAAAATAGCCCAGCTGGCGTGGATCAGTGGTTGAGTGGTTGAGTGCTGCTGACCCATGCATCAAGAGGTCGCCAGTTCAATTCCCAGTCAGGGCACATGCCCAGGTTGTAGGCCCAGTCCTCAGTTGGGGGCATGCAGGAGGCAGCCAATCAATGTTCTCTCTCATCAATGTTTCTATCTCTTTCTCCCTCTCCCTTTAAAAATCAATTAAAAAAATAAATAAAAATAAAAATCAGTCAAGGCCCTGCCTCATAATTGGCCTTGTGGATGGATTCCTTCACTGATATCCTGTAGTGAGCCTTTTCCTAGCTCATACATACTTTCCCCTAGGCAAGTGCATAGGGGAAAAGAACCCAGGTTACACATCTTGTCCTCTAGCTCCTCCCACTCAGTGGAGTTCAGGCCCCAGCACTCCGGGGCCCGCAGGTGAGGCCATTTCTGGGAGAAGGTGAGGAGAGGGAGTGGGATCAATTTTATACACTGAGATACTGCTTAAAATTTCTCTTAATGGAGTGCGTCTACTGCTAAAGACATCTGAGAGCCACTACTTTAAAGTCTACCTTTGGATCAGGTTAGCACCCTGGAAACCCACATATTTGATTTGTAGGCTTTAAAAGCATGTTTTTGGCTTAAGACATGAAATAATGGGCAAAATATGAACCCTCTGAAACTGCTAGAAAAATGCTTCTGAGGATTCTGTCAGACACATCACTCATTTACTATATAAAACCCCATCTAATACATCTTTTTTGCTTTTTTTTCCTTTATTTTAAATAACTTAGTGCCAGGAAGGACAGCACCTGAGGAGCTAACTAATCCTAATCTACTTTACTCTGGCTGCCAAGGGAGACTTAAAAACATTTTAAATGAAAATCTTTCATTATCAAAATAATACAGGTTCTCCAATGATAGTTATAAAATACTGATAAGCAAAAAGAAGAAAATTTAAGTTGAGTGCACATCCATTAACCAGGGATAACCAGTTCACATTTTGATATATAATGCCCCAGGTATTTTTTGTTGTTGTTAATCCTCACCCAAGGATATTTTTTCCATCGATTTTTAGAGAGAACAGAAGGGAGGGAGAGAGGGGGAGAGAAACATCAATGTGAGACACACTGATTGGTTGCCATCAGCACATACCCTGACCAGGGCCGGGGATTGAAGCTGCATCCTAGGTACATGCACTTGACTGGGAATCAGACCCACGAACCCAGTGTGTGCACCAATCTCTAACTGCTGAGCCACACCAGCAAGGGCCTGATTTTTTTTTTTATTCATATATCCACTTGCAGTACCAATGGTTTTATAACTTAACAATACATTGTGTCTCCCAGTTCATCCACTTACCAGCTACCTACAGGAGTACTGCATAGACTAGGTGGGAGGGTTCAAGTACAGAAAGCAATACAGCACTGAGAACAGTGCCTAGCACACAGCAAGTGCTTATAAATACCGTATAATTATATGTTTGGGTCATTAAACTGGCCTTAATTATGGCACTTTAAATAATTACATGACTTGCCAGGCCGGCGTGGCTCATTGGTTGAGCGTCAACCCATGTACCAAGAGGTCCCTGGTTCAATTCCCGGTCAGGGCACATGCCCAGGTTGTGGGCCAAATCCCCAGTGAGGGGCATGCAGGAGGTGGTGGTTGATGTTCTCTCCCATTGATGTTTCTAAATCTCTCTCCCTTTCCCTTCCTCTCTCTAAAATCAATAAGGAAAAAAAAAAATTTTTAATAAAAAATAATTACATGACTGACCCACATTATGTTAAAAGGAAGTAATGTAACTTCTTTAATACATCTCCATCTCCTGTCACTGACACCAACATTCTTTCCAGTCTTTCCACAGAGCCATTTTATTTTATTTTATTATTTTATTTTATTTTATTTTATTTTATTTTATTTTATTTTATTTTATTTTATTTTATTTTATTTTATTTTATTTTATTTTATTTTATTTTATTATTTTATTTTATTTTATTATTTTATTTTATTTTATTTTACTTTAATCCTCACCAGAGGACATTTCTCCATTTTTTGTTCAGACAGAGTGGGAGGGAGAGAGAGGAAGAGAGAGAGAGAGAGAGAGAGAGAAAAACATCAACATGAAAGGGACACATCGAGTGGCTGCCACCCACACCACCAACCAGGGCCGGGGACAAACTGCAACCGAGGCACGTGCCCTTAGGGGGAACCTAACTCGGGTCTCTCTGGACGGCAGGCCGACGCTCTAACCGCTGAGCCAAACCGGCCAGGGCGAGCCTTTTTAAATATATGTATTTTTTATTGATTTTTAGAGAGAGAGAAACATCGACAAAAGAGACACATCGATTGGCTGCCACCACATACCCCCCCTGGGGATCTAGCCGGCATCCCAGGCATGTGCCCTGACCAGCAACCTCCCGGTCCAGGGGTAGAAGCTCAACCACAGAGCCATTTTAAAGCTTATTGTTAATGTTTATTGGCCATTATGGACAGGATGCTTGTACTCTCCTTCCCCAGTCCTGATTTTCTAAATCTCATTCTGTTTTACCTTTTTCTTTATAATTACTTGGTATTGTTCTCCCCACCCCCCTTTTTGTTAATCCTCATTCAAGAATATTTTTCCATAGATTTTTTATAGAGTGAAAGGGAAGGAGGGAGGGTGGGAGGAAAAGGGAGAGGGAGAGGGAGAGGGAGAGGGAGAGGGAGAGGGAGAGGGAGAGGGAGGGAGAGGGAGAGGGAGAAGGGAAGGGAGAGGGAGAGAGACGTGAAAGACATACATCGATAGGTTGCCTCCCACAGGACCCCAACCAGGGCCAGGGATTGACCCTGCAACCCAGATACATGCCCTTTGGTCCAAAGGCTGATGCTCTAACTGCTGAGCCAAACTGGCCAGGGTGAAACTGTTTTTTTAATTTGTTATTTATTATTTGTTAAAATTGTTCAATTAATATACATTTCCTCAGGTGCCTCTAGAAAGAGTCAGGATGAAAACTGTGTGACTTTGCAGAATGGTGTCTAAGGGTTTACATGAATCTAAACTCTTCTAAAAAAGAGAGGAGAGGGCAATGCATATATGCATATAAACTCTTTGGTTAATCTCTTCCAACCTCCCCTACACCCCTTCCCTCTGAAATCTGTCAGTCTGTTCCATGTTTCCATGCTTCTGGTTCTATTTTATTCGTGAATTTATTTTGTTCATTAGATTCCACATATAACTGAGACCATATGGTATTTGTCTTTCTCTGACTGGTTTATTTTGCTTAGCATAATAATCTTTAGGTCCCTCCATGCTGACAATAGGATGGTAAAGGCTTAGGGTGGGGCAGGAATCAGGTGGAGGGGGGCTATGAGGGGAAAAAGGGGGAGACATCTGTAATACTCTCAACGATAAAGATAATAATTTAAAAAAAGGAAAGAGCCCTGGCCAGTTTGGCTCAGCAGTTGGAGCACTGGCCTGCAAATGAAGGGTCCTGGGTTCAATTCCAGTCAAGGGCATGTACCTGGGTTGCAGGTATGATCCCTGGCTCAGGTCAGGGTCTTGCAGGAGGAACCAATCGATGTGTCTCTCTCACATCTATGTTTCTCTCTCTCCCCCCCCCCCACCCCTTTCCCTTCTACTCTCTCTAAAAATCAATGGAAAAAATATCCTTGGGTGAGGATTAACAAAAAAAGAGACTTTGCTTGGGGTAGGCGCATGGTGCAGTGTGCAGATGATGTTTTGTTGAGTTGTACACTTGAAACCCTGTATGGTTTTACAAACCAATGTCCCCCAATGAATTTCATTTAAAAAATAAAATAAAAATATGTTCTCTGGTTTAAAAAAAAAAAAGAGCAAGCCCTGGCCGGTTTGGTTCAGTAGTTAGAGCATCGGCCTGCAGACCAAAGAGTCACAGGTTCTCTTCTGGTCCAGGGCATGTACCACGGTTGAGGTTGGGTCCCCGGCCCTGGTTGGGTCGTGTGCCAGGGACAACCAATCAATGTGTCTCTCTCACATTGTTCTCTCTCTCTCTCCCTCCCTCTCTCCCACTCTATCTGAAGAGAAATGGAAAAGTATCCTCAGGTGAGGATTTTAAAAAAGAGAGAGAGAGAGAGGAGAGCAACACAAGAACAATCTTCTCACCCTGTATCGGGCCTCTGGACGAATCATCATGGACATTCTGGCATGTTGGCTCAGTGGTCTCTTATATCCCACAGCTGAGACTGGCCGCTTCATCATCTGCTGATTCCTGAAAATGGACTGCAGTGGTTAAAGCCCTAGCTGGCGTGTGTTCCACAGTCCCAGGATTGGTCCTGTGGAACCAGCACTCAGAAGACTCTAAGCCTGCTTAAATAGGACCTGAAGCAAGTGATTCTCTGGACTGAGGGCCGACATGGAAATGATGCAGGAGCTATTTGTACTTTTTGCTTGAGTTGCTTTCTGAATCAAACGTGAGTGTCATGCACCTTTTAAGCTGGAAGAGATCTGAGTCATCATCCAGTTCTTAGATGGCAGGCATGAAGCATAGCTGTCAACACTCCCCACCCCTGTGTCCTTGGCAGACATCTCCCATTTTTGTAGCAGGATGCAGACTTATACTGCGAGTCCTTTTCAACACCGTGTCAGACTGACACGCAAGATAACACCTGTGTACTGCCTCTCATTTGGTCTAGCATGTTTCACTTGATAGCTGGGGAAGCTGAAATGCAGGAACTTGGGAAAGGTCATTAGTTCACCATGACAAAGTCTCCCAAATCCTAATACCACACTCATTATCAAACTTTTATCTCATGGAACTATGGCCATCACAAAATCAGAGATGCAATTGGTTCCAACTTTAAATGAATGAAATTTTGTTTTTACCATACCCCTCTGGCCAAGTCCAGCTTGTCAACATCCTTTCCCTCCTCCCCACTTTGAAGTCTACTTAAAGTCAACAGTGACTTACTCCAGTCTGGTTATAGGATGTAATTTCCAATGATCTTCCTCTTCATCAAAAAAGGATCTATTCATAATTTTACTTTTTTCTTCCAGAGGGATAAAGTTTTCTATAATAAGATGCCTGTAAGAGCACACATACAAGAGTGAATACAAAAAAAGAATACAAGTGGAGTGTTGGCTATCTGGCCCCATGTGTAGTGAATGAGCAGATAAGTCAAGTCACTCAGCAAACATTTATTAAGCAGGTACTATGAGCCCACCATCATATAAAAAAATGGGATACAAACATGAATGACACTTGATCCCTGCCCGAGACAGACAGGTAACAGTGCAGCACTCTTAGGTATGACAGGTGCTGACAGTGGTCTGCCCTGGGAATATGGAAAGGTCACTTCTGCCCAAGGAGGTGAAAGAACTGAAGAGGGAGGTGATGCCGAGACTACATTGGAGTGAACCTGTGCTATATGAAGTGCCTTTTGAAGGGCCACTAGTACTGCTAACCCAGCTCATTAACTTCCAACATGCTAAAAACAGGTTAGAAATTACACTGCCTTCCTCCAATCCTCTGGATGATTGCCAGAGATGAAAAATTTCACATTCTAATCACCAGGACAAAGTGCAGGAACAAATTAATTTCAGGCCCTTAGACTTCTGAGAATGAAGAACATTCCTGAGAAGAATCTACATGAGAGGTGCCCAGGGAACATGGCAAATAATGAAACTGGAGCCCATTGGGTTGTGTCTCACCATGGTGATAACAGTTTCCTGCCACATCTCTGCATTCACTTTCAAAACCTCAGAACAGTACAGTGCCAAAGGGGTGTTAACGTGAGAGACGTACAACAAACACAAGAGGTAAAAGGTACTGGCTGTAAAAAACAGGGTGACTCACTGTTTATTTAAAAGATATAAGAGCTATAACAATAAGTGCCTTCTTTAGGGAAAAGATATTCTGGAGAGATAAAATTTTCTCTTCATTTTATTTGACATTTAAGAAATTATTTTTCGGCCCTGGCTGGTTTGGCTCAGCAGTTAGAGCATCAGCTGACGGACTAGAGAGTCCGGGGATTGGTTCCCGCTGGGGGCACGTACCTCGGTTGCAGTTTGTCCTTGACCCTGGGTGGGGTTATGTGGGTGGCAACCAGTCAACGTGTCTCTCTCATGTCAATGTTTCTCTCTCTCTTCCTTCCTCTCTCCCTCCTGCTCTATCTGAAGATGAATGCAAAAATGTCCTCAGGTAATGATAAAAAAAAAAAAGAGAGAGAGACATTATTTCTCCCCCTGGCTGGTGTGACTCATTTGGTTGAGCGTTGTCCATGGACCAAAAGGTTGCTGGTTCAATTCCCAGTCAGGGCACATACCCAGGTTGTGGGACTGATTGATGTGGCAACCAACTGATGTTTCTCTCTCATACCAATGTTTCTCTATCCCTTCCTCTGTCCCTAAAAATATCAATAAAAACATATAAATATATATATATTTTTATCCTTACCAAGGACATTTTTTAATTTATCTTCAGATAGAGCAGGAGGGAGAAAAGTCCATAGCCTGGCTGGAGTGGCTCAGTGGTTCAGGGTTGTCCCATGCACCAAGAGGTCACTGGTTTGATTCCTGGTCAGGGTACATGTCCAGGTTTTGGGCCCAATCCCCAGTAAGGGGTATGTAGGAGGCAGCCAATCAATATTCTCTCATCGATGTTTCTACTTCTCTCTCCTTCCTTTCTCTCTCTCGAAAAATCAATAAAGAAAAAAATATCATAAAAAACAACAAAAGTCCATAAACAAACTTGTACACAAATGTTCATAGCAGCATCATTCATAATAACTAAAAAGTAGAAACAACTCAAATGTCCATCAGCTGATAAATGGATAAATAAAATGTGGTATACCCATACAACAAAATATTATTCAACAATAAAAAAGAATGAAGTATTGAAACATGCTACAACATGTTGACCCTTGAAAACACTCTATACTAAGTAAGAGAAATCAGTCACAAAAGGTCGTATTATTTCATTTATAAATGTATATACAATGTCCAGAATAGGCAAATTTAGATACAGTACACCACCATAAATTCAAGCAACAAAGAAAAATATAAATTGGACTACATCAATATTAAAATCTTTAGGCTAAAAACAAAATACCATCAAGAAAGTAAGTCTGGCCGGTGTGGCTCAGTGGTTGAGCGTCAACCCATGCACCAAGAGGTCGCTGGTTTGATTCCCGGTCAGGGCACATGCCCAGGTTGTAGGCCAAATCCCTGGTGGGGGGCATGCAGGAGGCAGCCAATCAATGTTCTCTCCCATCGATGTATCTATCTCTCTCTCCCTCTCACTTCCTCTCTCTCTAAAATTAATAAAGAAAAAAATAAATAAAAAAGTGAAAAAACAACCCACAGAATGACAGGAAATATTTGCAAATCACATATCAGATAAGGGACCTGTATCCAGGATATGTAAAGGACTCTTACCACTCAGTTAAAAAAAAAAACACCCAATAAATAACCCAATTTTAAAATCGGCATAGGATTGCCTAGCTGGTATGGACCAGTGGATTGAGCATTGTCCCATAGACTGAGAGGTCCCGGTTCCATACCTGGTCAGGGAACGCACAAACCCAGGTTTCGGGCTCAATGCCCAGTAGGGGGTGTGCAGGAGGCAGCTGATCGATGTTTCTCTCATGTGGATATTTCTATTCCTCCCTTCCTCTCTATCTAAGAAGATCAATAAAACATATTTAAAATAAAAATAAATGAATAAATAAATAAAATGAGTGAACAGATATTTCTCCAAAAGGTATACAAAAGCCAATAAGCACATGAAAAGATGCTCAACATCATTAGCCATCAGGGTAATGCAAATCAAACCAACAATGAGATGCCACTTCACACCCATTAGGATAGCTATAATAAAAAAGACAGATAATAGCCCTGGCCAGTTTGGCTCAGCGGTTAGAGCGTCGGCCCGAGGACCAGAGAGTCCCAGGTTCGGTTCCCACTAAGGGCACGTACCTTGGTTTCAGTTTGTCCCCTGGCCCCGGTTGGGGTTGTGCAGGTGGCAACCAATCAATATGTCTCTCGCACACTGATGTTTCTCTCTTTGTCTCTTCCCTCCTCTCTCTCTCCCGCTCTATCTGAGGATAAATGCAAAAAATGTCCTCAGGTGAAGTTAAAAAATAAAAAGTTAAACACAGAGTTACCATATAACCTAGCAATTCCACTCTAGGTATATATCCCAGAGAAATGAAAACATGTCCATATAAAACCTTGTACATGAATATTCATAGTAGCATTATTTATAATAACCAAAGAATGGAACTCAATCATTCTGTTCATCAACCGATAAGTTGGTAAATAAAATGTCGTATATCCATATAATACAATATTATTCAGTCATAAAAAAAGAATGAAGTATTGCCCTGGCCGGTGTGGCTCAGTGGATAGAGCAATGGCCTGTGCACCAAGGGGTCACGGGTTCAATTCCTGGTCAAGAGCACATACCTGGGTTCTGGATTGGATCCCTGGCCCATGAGGGCCAGGTGCAAAAGGCAACCATCGATGTGTGTCTTTCAAAATGATGTTTCTCTCTCTCCCCCCTCCCTCCTTCTCTTCCACTCTATCTAAAAATCAATGGGAAAAATATCCTGGACCCGGGCTGGTTTGGCTCAGCAGTTAGAGCATCAGCCCAAGAACTGAGGGCTCATGGGTTCGATTCCTGGTCAAGGGCACATACCTGGTTGCAGGTTCGATCCCCGACCCCAGTTGGAATTGTGTGGGAGGCAGCCAATGGATATCTCTCTCTCACATCAATGTTTCTCTCTCCCCCTCCCTCCCTCCCTCCTTTCCACTTTATGTAAAAAAATCAATGGAAAAATGTCCTCAGGTAAGGATTAAAAAAAAAAAAATCCTTGGGTGAGGATTAAAGAAAAGAATGAAGCACTGACATGCAATAACATGGAAGATCCTTGAAAGCATGTTAAGTGAAAGAAACCAGTCACAAAAGACCACATATTATACGATTCCATTTATATGTCCAGAATAGGTACATTTATAGAGGCAGAAAGTAGATTAGGGATAGGTAGGGGGAGGAAATGAGGAGTGATTGCTAACTGGTACAGGACTTCTTTTAGGGGGAACAAAATGTTCTAAAATCAGACTGTAGTGATGGTTTTACAAGCCTATAAACATGTATTTTTTTTTTATTGATTTTAGAGAGAGAAAGGAAGGGGGAGGGAGGGAGGGCGAGAAAGTGAGAGAGAGACAGAGAGCGATTTGTTGTTCCACTTATTCACACATTCATTAGTTGTGTCTTGTATGTGTACTCACTGGGGATCAAAATCCGCAACTTTGGTGTATGGGGATGACACTGAAGCCAACTGAGTTACCTGGCCAGGATAAATACACATTTTTTAAAAACTGACTTGTATATTTCAAATAGGTGAACTGTATTTCAACAAAGCTTTTTAAAAATAACATTGTGGTCATGTGTGTAAGTATACAGGAATGATATAACACGAGGTAAAATTTGCTTTAAAATATTTTTATGAAATACAGATGACAAAGATGGTCTGTCATTGAATCTAGGTGATGGATATTTGGGTGTTTACTATACCATTCAGAAAATCCTAGTTAACAAAAGATTCCTTCTTATCAATAGATAAAGGTGAGGCCAGAGTCTTGAAAAGCTTCAGGAAGGGAGAGTGGAGGGAAACCTGGAGATCAGCTGGTGAAATCATTCAGTTAACAGATGAAGCCCAGAGACAGAAAGTGACTTTTTTAACAATAAAGAGACAATAGACAAAGTGGCAGGAGATGAGCTGGAGAGAAGCAGCCCAGTGCTCAGAGAAGTATTTGTTACTTAACAAACAACCACCCAGCAAGTGGCCGGGGGCACCACGAAATGCCAAGAACTTACTTGAGTTTCAGCTCTCTGGTGAGCTCATTCTGAGTTTGCTCCAGCTCCTGACGCTCCTTGATGTGCTCTTCTTGGAGGTCGTGGATCTCTGCCTTCACTGCCTGAAACTTGGAGAAGAGCTGGGACCCAGGGGAGAGGCAGATGAGGAGGGCGGCCCTCCAGACAAGCTCTCCCTTTCCCCCAAGTCTCAGGACACCTCTGCCTGGCCTCATGCCTTTTATACCTTTTTGAGTTTTTTGGTCTTGATGTCCACCTCTTGCTGCAATGAGCTGTATGTCTCTTTAAGTTCCAAGGTCTCCTCATCTCGACTTTCCATCTGTTGCTGGATTTCTCTTTCTCGGCGTTTCTGAGCAACATTCCAAAATTCATCAGCTTGCCTAGAGACAATGTCTATACAAGAATATAGGGCAGGGCTGCTCCAGATCAGAGTCTCCCACTAGAAGGGGCTACCACAGCTCGTTTCCATTCCCTCTGAGTCGTCTAATACAAGAGATATTTTGCTTTGTAGCATTAACTCGCCTTAACCCACAACAGTCTCCCAGAAAAGAATCAAAAGTTACCTGCTCTGCAATTTCCTGCCGTTTCTGCTCCAGGATTTTCTGCTGTTCATTTGTATGATCTACTATATTTTTCCCTCCAACAAGCAGCTTACTCTCCATGGCCTGAGTGAGAAAAAGTGGAATCCATCTTGTGAATGGTCTCCCTCAGAATATATCTCCTCACATTAGACTCAGGACTGAGCCAAAGAGGGTGAACTCAGCGGAAAAGTATCTCGTGTTCAGCTGTGTCTTGTCCACCACTGGGATGGGGGCTGAGGTGGCTCCACTGGGAGCTTTGCCTTGGAAATACTGAAGGTACAGCTTCTCCAGACATACACTAACTTCAACTTCGTTTTTTTAAAAAAATGTTTTTGCCCAGCCAGTGTGGCTCAGTGGTTGAGCGTCGACCCAGGCACCAAGAGGTCGCCGGTTCGATTCCCAGTCAGGGCACAGGCCCAGGTTGTGGGCCTGATCCCCAGTGCAGGACATGTAGGAGGCGCCCAATCAATGTTTCTACCTCTCTCTTCCTCTTTCTCTAATAAAGAAAAAAAATATCATTAAAAAAATGTTTTCAATATGAATTGCAAAGCTGAGAGTCCACTGAGGGCCACAGACAAGTAAACAGGCTCTTACCATGTGGATCAGAAGCCATCATGAGGAAAAGAACAAGTAAGAATGAGAGAGGCAAATTCTCACTGGAGGGAGAGAATGCAGGCTTTTGGAAGGATTCAGGGAAAGCTTCCTGTCTCAGGAGCATCTGCACAGAGTACTGACTAAAAATAGGAATCAGCTAAGAGAAAGAAATTCTGTGTGAGAGGGCAGGGCAGGGAATGGTGATACATGAAGTTGGCAAAGCAATCAAGGGGCAGTTCCACAGCCTCAAAGCTCTGTTATAGGAGACTAAACTTGATCGTGAGAACGGCAGCAACCACTGACATGTTCTTTGATCATGACGGTACACAATCAGATTTGTGTTTGAGAAACATTACTCCCAAGCCACAAGAAAAATTACTGGAAAAGGGCAGGCTGAGTGCAGGCAACCAGACAAGCGGCTGTTTTGAGGGTCCAGGCCTGGACTAGGGAGGGAAGCAGTGGTGAGGAAGAGCCAGGGGGGTGATGGGTCCAAGAGATCCTGGCAAGACAGGAGTCAGGGGCCATGGGGCTGACTGGGCCCTAAGGGAGGGGGAGAGGCAGCTCCTAGGAATCTGACTTGACTGAGAAAAGGAAGGCAGGAGCAGGCTCTGGGTGGCTGGGGACATCTCCGTGCAAATGTCCAGTAGGCAGAGGCTTGGATATCAGGAGACACTTCTGGGTTTGTTATACAGATTGGGAGCCTTCAACATTTAGATGATGGCTGAAGCCACTGGAATGATTTGCACCTGAAAATGGAATTCAAAAGCTCCACATCCTTGCTTTTAAGAAACTTATAAACATTAACTGTAACCCTGCTGCCATCTTTCAGTGAGTCCCTGAGACCGTTTCCTCTCTTCTTAACACAAAGGGACTGCATTGATTGCCACACCTCAAACCAACACCCACTCCCCGATCCCCACCCTTCCAGCTCTAATTTTGTCTTATGATTTTACAGCAGCGAGGGATTGAGCAAGACAGAAGTATATCATTCTCCCATAAATAACGCGTTAAGAGATTCAGTGACCCTGAAGTAATGCTGAGTCTTGCCACACACGGCTTCTGAGAGTTGCCTAAATACGCCAGGTAGTTTAGAGTCTAGGTGCTCCTGGGCCTGATTACAGATGTGATCCGAAAATACAGCATGCAAATCATACATGGGCACACCCAATTACACTTCAAGTGCAGGAGTGAGGAGGGGTGATGTGGTGTTCGACATAATGGAACCCAATAGAAATTCCCTCCCTGGAACAAAGTTACCTCCTAATTGTGTTGTATATAAACCCATTTTCACATTAGGTCTTGAAAGTCCTGGAAAGGACCCCTGTCTCTGAAGGAAAATAGTACCCAGCTCTGTGAAAGGACCACTATTAGCCACAGATAAAGTATGGCTTCATATAGTGGGGGAAAGGGAGGTAAGAAAGAGATCACTGGTTATTTTTAAATTAATAAACATAGATACATTTTATTTATTTATTTTTTAAAATCCTCACCTGAGGATATTTTTCATTTATTTTCAGATAGAGTGGGAGGGAGGAGGGAGGGCAGGAGGGCGGTAGAGAGGGCGGGGGGGAGGAGGGGAGAGAGAGAGAGAGAAACATCGATGTGAGAGAGACAAATGGATTGGTTGCCTCCCACATGACCCCAACATGGGCTGGGGACCAAACTGCAACTGAGGTATGTGCCCTTGATCAGAATCGAACCAAAAACTCTTTTTGTTTGGTCCGTGGGCCAACACTCCAACTGCTGAGCCAAACTGGCCAGGGCTAAACATAGATTTCTTAGAGTAGAAATCAAAAGTCTGCATAAATTCAATGAGATAGAAGCCAACATGTCAAAGGAATTCTGGCTTGTGGTCAGGCAGTGATGAGTCATCCTAGGGTTCCAGGGCTAGCTTTGCACCCTCCTCTGCCATTAAAATCCTGCGGTAGCCCCGGGTCCAGGCTCCCGATGGAGCAGTACACTGCCACCAGAAAGAAGATACAACACAGGGGAGCCTCCTCACTCCAGAAGACTATGCAGCATCTGGCACACCATGATTGGAGGCTGGGGGAAGGGGTTGACTACAAGGGAGCATTTGGAGGGTGATGAAACTGTTCTGTATTTTCATCACTGCAATGCATATTAAAATCATAATGAGCCCTGGCTGATATGGCTCAGTTGGCTGGGCATCATCCTGTGCATCAAAGGACTGCCAGGTCAAATACAGATCAGGGCACATGCCAGGGTTGCAGGCTTGATCCCTGTAGGGGTTATGCAAGAGGCAGCCAATCGCTGTTTCTCTCTCACATTGATGTTTCTCTCTCCCTCCCTCTCCCTTCTTCTCTCTCTCTAAAAATCCATTATAGCCCAGCCGGTGTGGCCCAGTGGTTGAACGTCGACCCATGCACCAAGAGGTTGCTGGTTCGATTCCCAGTCAGGACACATGCCCAGGTTGTGGGCCAAATCCCCAGTGGGGAGCATGGAGGAGGTGGCCAATCGATGTTCTCTCTCATTGATGCTTCTATTTCTCTCTCTCTAAAATCAATAAAGAAAAAAAAATTTTTTAATAAATAAAAATAAATTATATAACCCACAATGAGTTACCATTTTATATCTACAGATATAAAAAAATTAAAGTCTGATAATCACATATTGGTAAGGGTGAGGAACAACCTGTAATAATATGCTCCTGATAGAAGGCCACTTAGAGGAAGAGGAAGATGGGATATGGGACCAACACCTAACCAACTGAGCCACACCAGCCAGGACTACAAGGTCACTTTAGAAAACAACTTGTCATCATTTAGTAAAGTTGAAGATGTACATTTTCTAGGACCTTGTAGTGCCAACAAGGAATTCTTGTCCTTACATGTTCTCCTGGAGCCAAGTACAAGAACACTCATAGCAGTAAATGGAAACAACCCACACTCTCAGGTGAATGGAATACTGTGGAATTCTCAGAACAGTAATAATGAATGAATCACAACTACAGGCATCAATATGGATAGATCTCATTAACATAATGTTAAGTGAATAAAAGCAAATTGCAGCAGTGAGAATCCATTTATAGAAAAGTAAAAAAAGATTTGAAACTAAAACTATCTTTTATTTAGAGATTTTACATATATGGGAAACTATAAAGAAAATAAACCATGAAATCCAAGATAATGGTTACCTGGGGCAGGGGTAGGGGGGACAGACACAGAGAGCTTGTAAAGATATGGCTGTTGTTCTATTTCTTACACTGGGTAAGTAAAGGGTAACATGGGTGTTAATTTTATTGCTGCTTTTTATACTTTGCACATATGTAATAATTGTTCTTACTATGAATTCAATTTTTTTAATTTGAAATATTGTTCTTCTTCAACAATACAATTAGATAAAAGTTTATTGGGCATCAGATATCATGGAGCTACTAAGAATGCAAAACTGAAAGAGACATCATCCCTCATATCATTTTTTTGATAAAACAAAAAGATTTGAAAGAAAAAAAAAGGCTCAAGAAGAGTATAGTACCTTGATTTTGGCACCCAGCATCTCAGCAGCATCCTTCTCCCTCCGCAGGTCCTCCATCTTTTTCTCCTTCTCTTTCAGCAGCTTCATCTTCTCCTCTGCAACCAAGCTGTGGTCCTCTACAATGGCCCGCTTCTCAATCTCCAGTTTTTCTTGCTGTTCCCGCCAGTAATCATCCTTATCATCTCCTTCCTCCTCACCCTCTTCTCCCTCCTCCTCCTCCTCCTCTTCCCCACCTCCACCACTGCCACCACCTTCCCTCCGCTTCTCTCGCCTCTTTTTCCTGCCAATGGATCGTTTTTCAAGCTGGGCCTTGAGCCGAGCAATCTCTTCCTGGAATTCTCGAAGGAGGGCATCCTTAGGGTCCTCGTTGACCCTTGGTTTATTCTTAATGTTTTTGGCACGGTTGGCATATCTCAGCGTGGTCAAAGTCTCTTCTACATTGTAAGAGGCAGGCCCCACGTTGGCTACCATCACAGTTTTAGCATTGCCACCAAGAGAATCTTGGAGGAGCCTGGTAAGCTTTGAGTCCCGATATGGAATGTGAGTGCTTTTGCCATCCACCAGGGCAGAGATGACATTACCCAAGGCCGAAAGGGACAGGTTGATCTTGGTCGCTTCCTTCAGTCTTTCCCCTTGCGCACCGGTCTTGGCTTGCCGTTCACTGCCAGCAAGATCTACAAGGTTCAATTTCCCTACACGAATATGGTTTTCTCCATCAAGGCCCACTTCACTGCACTCAATGGTGATAACAAAAATTGCATGAGAACGCGAACTGTGCTCATTCATGTTGGTAGCACCAACAGAACGGTTCTGGTTCCCCACATTCATCACGTGCTCTATTTCCTTCACACTCTTGGTGACAAAGGAAGACAGGTCTTTCACATATACCCCAGTGTCAGGCCTCTCTTTGAGTTCAAGCCTTTTGGTTTGGTCCTTTGAGAGCAGATCTCGGATCTCCTCCTGGTAAATCTCTAAGTAAGAAGCCCTGACCAGGTATTGTTGATTCTGGGATCGAGAGATATGGGTGAAAATGTGATCAAATGAGTTAGGGATGACCCCTCTTTTCTCAGGGTCACCACGAACTCCTTCCATTGTGTAGGTTTTCCCAGTCCCAGTTTGTCCATAGGCAAAAATTGTCCCATTGAAACCCTGAAGAACAGAGTCCACAAGCGGTCGGAACGTCTCATCATAGAGTTCAAACTGCTTGGCATTCCAGTCATAGACTGCATCAAAGGTGAAGGTCTTGGGCATCTCATGGGCCACTCCTCTGGGATTCTTCACAGACACCTGCCCCAGCTTCACATCCACATCTACCACCTTGTCGTACGAAGCAGCCTTTTCCTTGCCATTCATGGGCCGACAGCGAACCACCACCCTGACTGACTCTGAGCTTTTTAACTTGGACATGATGAACTCGGACCAGGTCAACCTTAAAGGCTATGAATGTCTCAGGATGCTAAGGTCCTAGAAAAAAAGCAAAAGTAAGTAAGAACAATACAGTTACCATTGGAGGCTGCTCAACAGCAGCTGACACACCCATCACCTTCGTCTTGCTAACCTTCTGATCACTACATTTTTTTCTTTTAAATTGCATTTACTTTTAAATTTTTCAACTACATTTTACTTTCAGTATAGTGGTTAGACAATCATATACTTTACAAAGTGTTCCCCCTGATATTTTCAGTATCCACCTGGCACCATATATAGTTACTGCAATATTATTAACTATATCTGACAGCTATATTTAATAACTTTACTATACTATATATTTCCTCACGGGATCTTAACCAGCTTCAGTGGGAAAAATAAAAACTCTAGTCCACCAAGAGTGTTAACTTGCTTGCCCTCCCTTCAACCAATATTTTATCTTATACTACAGGTTGAGGCAGCTGGAAACCCTTTTAAAGCCTGAGTAATCTTATATCCTGTTGAACTACTACAACTTCTGCATAGAACAATTTGGAACTATCTATCAAAAAAAAATTTTTTTTTAATCCTCACCCAAGGACATTTTCCCATTTTTTGTTCAGATAGAGTGGGAGGAAGAGAGAGAGAGAGAGAGAAACATCGACATGAAAGGGACACATCGAGTGGCTGCCACCCACACCACCAACCAGGGCCAGGGACAAACTGCAACCGAGGTACGCGCCCTTAGTGGGAACCGAACCCGGGTCTCTCTGGACCTCAGGCCGACGCTCTAACCGCTAAGCCAAACCGGCCAGGGCACTTATCTATCAAAATTTAAAATGCAGCCTGGCTGGTGTGGCTCGGTGGGTGAGTGTTGACCCACGTACCAAGAGGTTGCCAGTTCGATTCCTGGTTGGGGCACATGCCCAGGCAGTGGGCCAAATCCCAATGGAGGGCATGCAGGAGGTGGCCAATTAATGTTCTCTCATCAATGTTTCTGTCTCTCTCCCTTTCCCTTCCTCTCTCTCTAAAATCAATAAAAAAAATTTTTTTAAAGGTTGCTGCTCAGATGATATCCTTTAAAAAAAAAAACTGCACATACCTTTGACCTAGCAGTTGTATTTCTAAAAACTTAACTTACAGATACAAGGATATTTGTTGTGGCAGCAATAGACTGTGGACAACCTAAATTCCCATCAAGGGGCTTATTAAATAAATATACTTAACAAATGTAGTGGAATCCTGTGCAGTTACTAAAAAGAATGTGCTGATCAAAATGTAGTCCTATACCAAAATATGTTGTTCAGTGAAAAAAGTAGATGAGGAATAGTGTGTATAGTATAGCTCACAGTGTGTTAGAAGGGGGACACATACATGTTTTTAGGCATACCATATTAGTATAAGTACACATGTAAAAGCAGTAACAGTAGCAGCCTCGGCAGGGGAATGATGGGCCTCGGGGACTCAGAGGTCTACAGAGATTAGACACACACACAAACACACACACACACACACACACACACACCTTTCTACTGTATGCTTGCTTGTACTGTTTGAGTTTCCTATCTTGTGCTTGATACTTTTCCATTCTAAAATCATAATCATTTTGCTTGTGCAAAATGTATTCAAATAAATGAGTATGTGGTGTAATGCAATACATAGAAAGCACTTACCCAGCCCTGGCCTGTTTGGCTCAGCAGTTAGAGCGTCGGCCCACGGACCAGAGAGTCCCAGGTTCGGTTCCTGCAAAGGGCACGTACCTCGGTTGCAGTTTGTCCCTGGCCCCAGTTGGGGTTGTGTCTCTCTCACATCGATGTTTTTCTCTCTCTCATCAATGTTTTTCTCTCTCTCTTCCTCCCTCTCTCCTTCCCGTTCTATCTGAAGATAATTGCAAAAATGTCCTCAGGTGAGGATAAAAAAAAATTAATACAGATTCATCCAAATGACTCATCAAAGGGTCATTCCAGAGATTATCAGTCAGCCCTAATTTTAGGCATTAAACATCACTAGACTAACATTTTCTCTTCTACTAGGAGTCATCCTAAAAAAATCCTGTTAAATTGAGATCCAAACACCTAACCAATGTTCAATTAGAAGTAAATTTCAAGACTTTTTTTAAAAAATGTTTTTATTAATTTTTTGAGAGAGAGGAAGTGACAGAGAGATAGAAACATCAATGTGAGAGAGAAACATCGATCAGCTGCCTCCTGCACACCCCCTACTGGGGATTGAGCCCGAAACCCGGGTATGTGCCCTGACCAGGAATCGAACCGGGACCTCTCAGTCCATGAGACAATGCTCAATCCACTGAGCCACACTGGCTGGGCTCAAGCCATTTTTTTTAAATTCTTACCAGAGGACATGCATACATAGAGAGAGGGAGAGGGAGAGAGAAACATCAATGTTAGAGAGAAACATAGATTGGTTGCCTTCCGTACATGCCCCAACCAGAGATTGAACCCACAACCCAGGTATGTGCCCTGACCAAGAACTGAACCAGCAGGCTTTCAGTGCACAGGATGACACTCAACCAACTGAGCTACTTCGGCTGGGCAAATCTCGGCCATTTAAAGAAAACCACGTAAAAGGAAGCCCTTTCATTCATCACATTTCTAGATGCTATTAAAATTTTGCCAGAGAAAGAACCAGATGTTAGAATGGCCAGACTGTTTACTGCATCTCCTTTTCTTTTCCAGGAAATGGCCCCTAGGCCACAGCTGTGGCTGATCCCTTGCCTGTCTCTCCCTCCATTTTAACAAAATGTCTAGCTGTCAAGCACAACCCCCAGACTCTTAAGCCTCCTTTGGGGAGGTCTCGGCTGCAGTGCTTGGGAAAGTTAGGCAGGATCCCACACTTGAAGAAGTAACAAAAACTTAAGGGGGTGGGTGGGGAACACGTCAATGATGATGACGCATTCTTCTGTATTACATACTCCTGAAGAAGCAGAACTGTCCAGCTTTTGCTTATCAAAACAATATGTCCCCAAGCCTGTTTTTTAAAAAAATAAAATAAAAAGCCTGCAGCAGGCTTACTGGTGTTCAGCTGCTTTTGTTATAGCCCCATCTACTTTTTTAGCTCTCCGAAACAATAAAAACAAAGGAATGATAATGACCTACAATAATCTTAAAAATAGTTTAAAAAGAAGGAATTCCCAGAGCCGGAGTCCCTTTAATTAAATCCCGGCTGAGAACACAGAACATCATTTCTTTTCTGAACTCACTGAGCTCAAGTGAACTAGTCATGTTTTATTGATGCATTATTTCAGGAAGATGGACTAATTTAATTTCCTGCCACCAGGGCTTAAAATCTTGCTCTGGGTCCGCCTCAAAGGAGAGGGTTTTCTTGGAAGGATGCCCTGATACTCTTTCTTTACTTTATTAGCTTCCTTATTCTTCTTCCAGCCGGTCTAATTACAGTGATAAATCTTTAAAGGAACTCAGAGAACTGCCAGGAAAGACAGAACCACAGGTCAGCAGCTCATCGCCTTCATCCTAAATACTTTTTCTGCTAGGACCTGTCATTCCGATGTTAACAGTACCATTTTAATGGCTACTGCACGTGAAAAATTGAGTTTTTCCCCAATTTCATCTCTTTTGTCCTCAGAAAAAACCAGTTACACATTTCTCAGGGCGGCCACATCCTTCTAAACCATTTTCCAACTCTCCTGTTTGGGTTCACACACTGTCGCCTTTGCTAGTCCTCATGGAGTCTTACCTCAAATTCTAGAACTAGGTGTGGATTGACTTCTCAACAACTGTTGGCTTCCTATAGAGATTCTAGAATAGAAGTCAAAAACTGGTCACATTCCACCTGAAGCGTTTTTTTTTTTTTATCCTCAGGACATTTTTTTGCATTTAACTTCAGATAGAGCGGGAGGGAGAGAGGAAGAAAGAGAGAGAAACATCTATGTGAGAGAGACACATCAAGTGGCTGCCACCCACATGACCACAACTGGGCTGGGGATAAACTGCAACCGAGGTACGTGCCCTTAGCGGGAACCAAACCCGGGACTCTCTGGTCCATGGGCCAACACTCTAACTGCTGAGCCAAACTGGCCAGGGTATACCTGAGGCATTTTATTTGGCCCACCTGTTGTTAAAAAAGAGTGAAGGGGAAAAAACAACCCTTCAGCAATTCCACTTTTATATATGTGTATGTCTTGGTAAAAAAAAAACTTTGCACAGGCACACAAGGATGCTTTCTGAAGCACTGTTAAAATAGAAAAACTGGAAACAACCTAAACATACATTTATAGGAAAATAAAAAAATAAGATATAGTATATTTATAGTATATTCATATTATAGACAGTACATTACTCAGTAATTAAAAAGAATAAATTAGAGCAGGGGTCAGCAAACTACAGTCCACAGGCCAAATCCGGCCACAGCCTATTTTGTAAATAGTTTTATTGCAACACAGCTATAAGCCTTTGTTTACATTTAACTATGGCTGCATTTGTTATAAAATAGCAGAGTTGAGTAGTTGCAGCAGAGATAGTACGGCCTACAAAATATAAACTATTTATTACCTGATCTTTTACAGAAAAAGTCTATTAACACTGATTTAGAGTTATACAGGGTGAGGCAAAAGTAGATTTACAGTTGTGAGTATGTGAAACCGTTTATTCTTAAATTATTATTAATTATTGTATTGTTTTCCATTCAAACAACTGTAAAGCTACTTTTGCTCTACCCTGTATATATTTATATGGATAAATAAACCAGTTGAATAAAAAAACAAGCTACAGCCCTGGCCTGTTTGGCTCAGTGGTTAGAACATCAGCCCATGGTCCAAAGAGACCCGGGTTCGGTTCCAGCTAGGGGTGCGTACCTTGGTTGCAGTTTGTCCCCGGCCCCAGTTGGGGTTGTGCGGGAGGCAGCCACTCAATGTGTCCCTTTCAAGTAGATGTTTCTCTCTCTCTCTCTCTCTCCCCCCTTCACTCCCTCCCTCCCTCCCTCCCACTCTATCTGAGCAAAAATGAAAAAATGTCCTCAGGTGAGGATAAGAAAAACAACAAGCTATAGAGTAATAATTATGATTAAAAACATCAAACACTATGGTGTGCATGTCCATATAAGTACAAAAAATGGGACAGAAGGATATATAATGATTTATGATACTGGGCAGGAGAATTGGACTAGAAATGAGAAGGATATTTCAATTTTATCGATAATATTTTATTATTTCTCTTCCAAAAGAATAAAAAAAGGGAAAATGAGGCTTGAAGCAAATAAGAGAAAATGTTAACTGTCAATTCTGGCTGTTTCCTATTTCTTCTCTGAAAAAAACGACCCATTTACTTTTCTTTTTTATCCTCACCTGAGGATATGTTTTAAATATGTTTTCATTGCTTTTTAGAGAGGGAGGGAGGGATAGAAAGTGAGAAACATCAATGTGAGAGAAACATGGATCCATTGCTTACCCTATGTGCCCCAACCAGGATGGAATCTACAGCTGGGTATGTGCCCTGACCAGGAATCGAACCTGCCACCTTTTGGTGTATGGGATAACACTTCAACCAACTGAACCACCAGGCCAGAGCTCACATCTAAGAAAAACAAAGCGAAAAAACCTTGGCTGCTGTGGCTCAGTTGTTGGAGCATCACCTGGACATCAAAAGGTTGTGGGTTTGATCCCAGTTTCAGTTCATGCAGGAGACAATGGATCAATCTTCCTCTCCCTCCCTCTCTCTTTCTTTCTCATTCTCTCCCTCCTTCCCTCCCTTCTTCTAAAAACTCAACTGGAAAGAAAAAAAAAGCAACACTGCCCAGTGTGGCTCAGTTGGTTGGGCGTCCTCCCATGCACAGAAAGTTTACTGGTTCAATTCAGGTCAGGGCACATGCCAGGGTTGGGGACTTGATCCCCGGTAGGGGACATGCAGGAGACAGCCGATGGATGTTTTTCACTCTCACATTGTCTCTCTCTCTCTCCCTTCCTTTCTCTCTAAGAAAAAAAAAACAAAGAAAGAAAGCAGATTTTTTTTTGCTTCTCTGGAAGAATGGGGATATCTGACAGCCCCTGGCCCATGCTCCAAATGGCAGTAACAGGAGCTGAGCAACAGGTGCATCTCTGGGGGACCTGGCATCTCCATACCCCATCCCCCACCTCACTTTCTCATACTCAGCATGCTTTGCTCATTTATACTTCCTGCCTGGCTCTTGTAGGCATCTCTATCTATGAACAAATTCATGTACACATGATATAATTATGAAAGGTCCACCAGCCCTGGCCAGTTTGGCTCAGCGGTTAGAGTGTGGGCCTTCAGTCCAGATAGACCGGGGTTTGGTTCCTGCTAAGGGTGCGTACTCAGCTGCAGTTTGTCTCCGGCCCTGGATGGCTCGTGCGGGTGGCAACCACTAGACGTGTCCCTTTCACGTCGATGGTTCCCCCCCCCCCACTCTATCTGAACAAAATATCGAAAAGTGTCCTTTCATGTCGATGTCTCTCTCTCTCTCTACCCCCCCCCCCAACTCTATCTGAACAAAAACATGGAAAAAATGTCCTCGGGTGAGGATAAAAAAAAAAAAAAGATGTACTAGTATGGTGGACCTTTTTTTTTTTTTTTATCCTCACCTGAGGACATTTTTCCATTTTTTTGTACAGATAGAGTGGGAGGGAGAGAGAGGAAGAGAGAGAGAGAGAAACATCGATGCGAAAGGGACACATTGAGTGGCTGCCACCCGCACGATCATCCAGGGCCGGGGACAAACTGCAATCGAGGTACGTGCCCTTAGCGGGAACCGAACCCGGGTCTCTCTGGACCGCAGGCGGACGCTCTAACCGCTGAGCCAAACCGGCCAGGGCGTCATTTTTTTGTGTTTTTTTTTTAACGTTTTTATTGATTTGAAAGAGAGATGAAGGGAAAGGGAGAGACAGAAATATTGATTGGCTGCTTCCTGCAAGCCTCCGACTGGAGATCCAGCCCACTACCCTCAGTATGTGCCTTGACCAGGAATCGAACCAGCAACCTCTGTGAGTATGGGATGACGCTCAACCAACTGAGCCACACCAGCCAGGGTGATAGTCCATCTTTTAAAATGACACTTGCCAATGTTCTAAATGACATGGGAAATGCTTATCATAAATGAAAAAGTAGTTCACGAAACTGAATGCACACAATCACAATTATATAAAAATAAGACACATCAAAATATCAATAGTGATCCACTTTGGATGATGGGTCTACAGGTGATTTCCCCTGCTCTTCAACGTTTCTGTATTTTCCAAATTTTCTTTAATGAGCATGTGGTATCTTCAAATGGGAAAAAATAAAGGCCTGGCAATTTACCAGAAACAGCCCTGCAAGGAGGAGCTATTTGGGGGCACACTGAGTGCACACTAATGCATCTTTAATCAATGCATTCCAACACAATGTCCTCTAAGATCAGACCAGGCAACCACCTGCCAACTGCCTGGCTTGGAGTTCAAGGACTCAGAGTGTCTGAAAGGCAGCCCAAGCCATAGATCACATGGGCCATAAAAAGAAAAAAAGAAAAATCACTGCAACACGGAGGCAAGAAGACAAAAGCAACTCCCTATTAACCAGTCCAAACCAACGCCCTGTATAGGTTTCTCCCAGGGGAAACAGTTGTTTCTACTCTGTATCCACCTCATCACCAGCAACACCACTGTCTTTCACAATGGTTGCTAATTGTTTTGAAGTACCAAGACTCCTTGTTTGCAATCCCTGAACAACACCAAGAAAAAACTCTGGGTCGCTGGTTCCCAAGATGGCCAGTTATTACAATGGGATTTTTCAAAACAAGATTATTCATCTCCAGTTGAAAAATAACATCCTTGCCCTGCAGAACTTTAAAAGGACTTAAGATTTTTGTTGAGGGACTAGTTCTATATGTGTATAAAATACATCTGGAGGGATATTCAAGAGCCAGATAACAACACTGGTGGCCTGTAGGGCCAAGAGTGGAACAGACACTTTTCATTGTATACCCTTTACACCTTCTTGAGTTCTGAATAGTGAATATATTGCCTAGTCAGAAAAAAAAAAAAAAAATAGAAGAAAAAAGTGATGGAAAAGGTTTGTGAGATTAATTTAACTAATATCCTGGTGTTAAAAGCCATTATTTATTTTCCTCTGTCCATTTTTACTGATCACCATGAATATAAGGTAATAAAAAATGTCTAATTGATAAACAAAGGGCCCTAGGAATAAAACTACTTTTCTCAACTTTATGGTGAAGCTTCATAAAAGAGCTTTGATGAACCCTGGCCAGTTTGGCTCAGCAGTTGGGAGCATTGGCCTGCAGTCCAGAGAGACCCGGGTTCGGTTCCCGCTAAGGGCATGTACCACGGTTGCAGTTTGTCCCCGGCCCTGGTTGGGTTGTGCAGGAGGCATCCACTTGATGTGTCCCTTTCACATCAATGTTCCTCTCTCTCTCTATCCCTCCCACTCTATCTGAACAAAAAATGGAAAAATGTCCTCGGGTGAGGATAAAAAAAAAAAAAGCTTTGATGAGAATGATAGCAATTGAATCTTTAACTTTCTAATATCAATGTAGCATGTCACATAGCCTCAGCCTGAAAAGGCACTCAGAGCAAAGATGTTAAAGTAACAGACTAACAAAATATTTTCTGTTGTTATTACAGGCACTGTTAATAAAAATAAAGTCATCTTTTTTGTAAGCCAAACAGTTGTGTGAACAGCCTAAAAACTTTCAGTGTCCTTTATACATACAAGAGCTACAGCATCTCAAACTGGTACAAATTATTTTAAGGCAATTGGGCAATTAATTCTTAAACAATAAAGTACAATAC